TTCCGTAATATTTGCATCTCATCTCTGCATCACCTCTCCCGACATACACACACTCACTGCCATGTACGGGGCTGAACCGACGATTTAGTGCGATTTGATTATAAGGTAGTTGGCAACTGTTTGTTTACATGACGTCAGCTGATGGAGGGAAGGAGATGGCGAGAAAATGTAGTTAGACTAATTTAAATGTGAATTAATTGGTAGATGATTAATAAGAAGGTAGATAGATGGGTAGAAAGGTAAACTGATTAGATAAGTAGGACAGTAGAGAGAAAGTTAGGCTGACTGTACTACCATGTATCAAACTGTCTGACTGGTACTGTAGCACAACCATGAGACTCTCTGACTGGCACACCATAGACTGAGTGACTGGGTATACAACTGACTGTCTAACTGGCAAAGAATGTGACAGGACACAAGTCAACCAATTAGATGCAAGACAAGACGGCAGAACGTAACTCTATACCTACACACATTTGTTGTATTGGTAAATCATAGCCACTACCCCACTCTCTCCCCTCTCCTCTCCTTTGCCCTTTGCCCTCTCACTCCCCCCCCTCTCTTGCCCTTACACTCTTCCCCCTCTCTTGCCCTCACACTTTTCCCCCTCTCTTGCCTTCCCTTCCCTTCTTTCCCTTCCCCCTCTCCTTTCTTGCCCCTTCCCTCTTCCCTCTCTTGCCCCCCCCACTTCCCCTCCTCCTTTCCCCTCATATCTTATGTACTGCTGACGTCATTTATTTGAGTATAGCTGCCACTTATAACATATCTACCACTTGTAAATAGCTGCCACTTGCAATTAGCTGCCACTTATAATATATCTACCACTTGTAAATAGCTGCCACTTGCAATTAGCTGTCACTTATAATATAGCTACCAACTTAGCTTTAATAGTGTTGCCATCTAAGGTCAGTACACTTGTCATGGGTGTGTGGGCAACTTGTACACTTGAGGTAGAGTGTTAAAGGCTACACAGAACACGTCATCTTGGGTGTATCTCTTCATAACATTCTTTAGGAGATCTGCTTGAGTCTTTCTCAATATCCTGTGTCGAAGGTCGGAATTTGTGTGAGTGTATCTGTCTGTGTATAGATTTGTGTGTGTATGTGTGTGTGTGTGTGTGTGTGAACGCATGCTTGTATGTGTATGTTTTGATGTGTTTCAACGTTTTCGACTAGGGAGAGAGAGAGAGAGAGAGAGAGAGAGAGAGAGAGAGAGAGAGAGTCCATGCCTATAATAAAACAACATTGTCCTGACGTGATGATGTACGGGGACAATGTTGCTGTTGTCATACGAACATTCACGCCAGCTCCACGGTAATCTGTGTGGTGGTGTGTGTAGATTTTTTCTGGGGCATCCTGTAGTTTTTTGTATTCTGTTGTTCTTTGTATTGTTGTAGTCCCAGGAACACTAAATAGTCCCTATAAGTAGTCCCAGGAACACTTATGTAGTCCTAGGAACACCAAAGTAGTCCCAGGAACACTTATGTAGTTCTAGGAATACTAAAGTAGTCCCAGGAATAGTAAAGTAGTCCTAGGAATACTAAAGTAGTCCCAGAAACACGTAAGTAGTCCCAGGAACACTAAACTAGTCCCAGGAACACTTCATTAGTCCCAGGAATACTTTAAATAGTCCCAAGAACACTAAAGAGTGCCAATAAATAATCCCAGGAGCACTTAAGTAGTCCCAGGAACACTTAAGTAGTCCCAAGAAGACATCATCTCACTGACGAAGGCGGAAGAATACAGACAGAGAAAACAACAACAAACGCTTCATCAGGGTATGTCAAGCCAGTCAGAACAGATGGCAGTGAGCAGCAGCAGCATACCTTCCTGGTGGGGGTGTGAGAGAGAGCACTTCCCCGTGACATTACTAGCCTGCAGGGCCCATCATCACAGCCACCGCGCCACGCCCCTCCCTGCCTCTCCCACACACGATCAAGGTCACGTTTCCATCCTCCTGACCTGTGGTTCCGGGTTGTGTTATGGATACACTCCACCCCTACCCCCCGTGTAACCCCGATGGTTAAGAGGAAAAAAATAAATAAAGAAAAACATGATGTGATTTGTGGTGGGCCAAGTGTGTGTGTGTGTGTGTCTTACGCCCACGTGTCAGTCTCTCTCTCTCTCTCTCTCTCTCTCTCTCTCTCTCTCTCTCTCTTCACACACACACCATCGAACTATTTAGGTATCCCCCCCCTGACAATGACCAATTGAAATCCATTTACAGTATCAGTAGTATAAACAAACCCTCCGTCACCCCCTTGCCTAGTTCTCGCTTTCCCCCTTACCCCTTCCTTTCCTCCCTCACCCCTCTCTTCCTTCCTCGCCCCTCTCTTCCTCCCTTACCCTTTCCTTCCCCCCCTCACCCCTCCCTCACCCCTCCTAGTGGCGTGGGATGTTAGTTGACTCGTGAACAATAGGTCGAGATAAGGGATCGGCCTCAACCAGAGCGAGTATGGACGTGTGGGCGTGGGCGTCTGGGCGTGGGCGTGTGGGCGTGAAGGAAAGAGAGTCCTCAGCAGATGTTGATCTTCCTGGAACGCCCCCTTGTTGTCTCTTGCATTAATAAAAGGAACGTCACTTTCTCTCACTGTGTGTGTGTGTGTGTGTGTGTGTGTGTGTGTGTCTATTTTCTTTCACAATTGACAAGAGAACTAGTTACGTTCCAGGACTAAAGGGTTAAGCCATCATCTTCAAAGGGTTAATCCACCGTTGTCAGGGGTTAATCCATCGTCTTTAAAGGGTTAATCCATCGTCTTGAAAGAGTTAAGCCATCGTTGTCAGGGGGTCAAGAGAAAATTTAACACGCAGTAATTTGTTAGCGGGTGAAAGAGAGCGACACACACACACACACACACACACACACACACACACACACACACACATACACATCTAACCCACCAATTATGCGTTTGGGTATTTAATCATCAGGTAATCCTCACAGTCTATCGTACATATAAGTTATGAATCTATACATATAGATCATGTAAGCATCTATTAGTCTGTCTGTCTGTCTGTATGTATGTGTCCTCATGCTCACACCACCACCACCACCACCACCACCACCACCACACCACCACCCACACCACCACCACCACCCCCACCACCACCACACCACCACCACCACTACCACCACCACCACACCACCACCACCACCACCCCCCACCACCACCCACCCCACACCACCACCACCACCACCACCACCACTACTACTTACCATCGTTAAATTTTTTGATCTGTTGGGTGACGGTGTCCCTGGGGGCAGTACAAAACGTGAGCCGTGGGTGAGACCTAAATGAGCCGTGGGTGAGCCGTGGGTAAGCCGTGGGTAAGACCTAGATAAGTCATGGGTACACAAATGATTTACGATACCACATACGGAAGGTAAACACGACGACACACTCCTCACCGTTGATTGCCCCGTCAGGAGTGGCTGCCTTCACCTCCTTTGTCTCATGTCCTGGTGGTGACTGAGTGACTGTCTGTCTTGATGTTTCTCTCTCTCTATTCGACTGTCTCTGTGTAATATAAAAAACTTAAAACACTAACCTAATCAATAACTTAATTCACCTCTCACTTTAACCCTCTCACCTCTCCCTCTCACCTCTCCCTCTCACCCCGTGCCTTGGCCTCCTCCCTGGCTCACGTCGTCACCTCGTTAACATGGCTACCTCCTTCGTCGGGCCGCTGACGAGGAGAGAACGAAACAGCAGACAAGATAGATAGATATATAGATAGATAGATAGATAGATTGATAGATATTCAGTAAAATCATCTTAAAAGTTTATTCATGATTCAGTATGTACTTAAATTAGAGAAGTCAGGTATGGGCATAAAGTACACCCAGAAATTATACCCAGGAGAGAGTATACTTCTTGACAGTATACCCAGGAGAGAGTATACCCCCTGACAGTATACCACAAGACAGCAGATTTTACCTTAATTACCTCCGTCCTTTTTAATTCGACAGGTGAGGACAGGTAAACATGACTCACTCTCACAAAGACACAATATTGTAGAACTAAACACATTAATTTTGTTTTGTTTAATTGATAATTTGCTTCCACTAATTACCTCATTGACCATTCCGCTGGGTGGGGGGGGGGGGACTTGTTACACTGTTATGCCCTTAATTATCCAGTGTTAGTACAGGGGAGAAGCAATCAGAATACCTGGAGAAAACTTGCGAATTGGTAACTAGAATTGTTTTGTTATTTCTAATTTAAGGGAAGATTATTTGGTTTAAGAATCTTTTTCAAATTTATGGTTTAGTTTAACTGATTTGGGTTGGGGTTGGTTAGGTTTGGTTAGGTTTAGGTGGGGTTGGTTAGGTTAGGTTAGGTTAGGTTAAGGCCTATTTGAACTGTGGACCCCATTGGCCACTCACCTTTAGCTCATATTTGTTAAACTTGTTAATATCGGGGTCAGCGAAACACACACACACACACACACACACCACCTTCATGTCTCTATCCTGACCCCCCACTAGAGAAAGTCACAAGGGCGGTAATCATCGTGACAGGCGTGGTATTGTGATCCTTATTGTATGTATATAACAGCTGGCCTGGGGTACGGTCTTGTGGGGAAGGGGGGAAGGATTATAGTGTTATATGATGGTTAGGGAGAGAGGGAAGATGAAGAGTGGAATTGAGGGGAAGGAGAAGTGTGTGTGTGTGTGTGTGTGTGTGTGTGTGTGTGTGTGTGTGTGTGTGTGTGTCTGTGTACTTTGCACTCGGATTCAATTATTTTACACGATTGTTTACACTCATGCTTGTGTTTCTCCTAACAGTGGTGATTGATAGCGTCATCAACGGGGAGACACTAACGCAGAAGGTAAGGGCGCCTTCTGTTAAGCCCCGCGCCCTCCTCAGGTCACTGCTGGTGGAGCTGGATCAAGAAGACAGCCTCGCCAATGTTTACGTCAACTGTCACCTCATGGGCTCCGTCACCTTGCCAAAGTCACCAAGGGCAATGGCCTCTGATACTAAAGATCTACGTGTGGTGAGTACTCGAGGGTGTGGTGTGGTGTGGTGTGGTGTAGTGTGGTGTGGTTGTGGTGTGGTGTGTGACTGGTCCTTCCTTTTCTTGTAGATATTAAGTTCTGACAACATAATCACAAGCGTCTATAACAAGGGGGGGAATTCTATATCTTTGCTGTGATGTCGTGACCATTTGATAAACATTCACAGCTGGTGGTTTGGTTAGTGTGTGTGTGTGTGTGTGTGTGTGTACAGGATGTTTTGTTTTCTATTTTTCAGTGGTGTAATATAATATTGTTGTATGATATAGTTGGCTACCATATGAAGTAGTCATAGGTGATTTATTTACGTATGTTCGCAGGATTTCGGGCTAGTCACTACAATTTTTTTTCTTGAATCAATGTTTATTAGGATAATGGATCAGAGGTGACGAGGTGAAGTGGAGGTCACAGTTTGACTCGTCTTGGCAAACATTCACAAGACATAAATTCACTATTGTTTAATTCAGTTCAAGATATCAGGCTATCTTGACCGCACTCCAGCTTGGCGCGCGGGAAAAAAAAATAATGCTCCTCGACAAAAACTGCTCCGCCCACCGCCTAACTAATGAGGCATTCAACGCTTGTTTTATACCCCATTCAGCAGCGTCATTCACAACACTGTAATGATCCTAACAAACCCAGGCCCGGAGAGTATCACGTGTGTGCTTGTTGTTGCTGTGAAGGTGACGCGGAGTAATGGCAGGATCCCGGGCTCACACAGCCTCGCCATTTGTGTCTTTTTCAACAAGATGAATCAAGATGCTCTCGGATAAGACCCGTATACTGTGTAGCCCTTAAGATATTTTTTACTATAATTAACCTAAATTTTATGCTACTTTCATTAACAATATTTAACGTACTTACAAACGTAGCCCGACTTTGCTCTTAACTTACAGAAGGAAATTTGTTTTAAATAACGATTGTTACCGAAAAATATGATTTAGTTGATTAGAAAAACAAGCATCCTCAAAATATTTCATAAAGATTAACTTTTGATCAGTCTCCGCGTTTAACGTGTTCTAGGTAATTAATTCACCTCAGTATCAACTAGGGATGGCACTCTCGGCCTTCATAAATGCAAGCGATATGATACGCTAAAATTTCCTATCACAGACTATATACTATGAAAGTTTCACACACACACACACACACACACACACACACACACACACACACACACACACACACACAATGATGTCACGACTGCCACCGGTCATTAAAGCTCTCCGTTTATAAACAAAATGTGACAAGATCCGGTAGGGTGACTCTCCTCCGCCGGGATGAGAGGAACAGTGAAAGTCTGTGAGAGAATGATTCTGAGAGACGCTCATTGTCCTACCACGAAAACTGACATCAGATAAAACAAGCTAAACATTTGGTTAACTTGGACTAGAATTAAGTTGGATTAGGTTAGATTAGTTTAGGGTAGGTTAATTTAAGTTAGATTAGGCTAGATTAGTTTAGGTTAGCCTTGGGTAAGTTACGATAGTTTAAGCCTGAAAAAATACGCAGCTATAATTTCACATGGTGTGGAAATTCGTTAGTATAGCCATTCGTTGTTACCACTGTATAGGCGTTATCTAAGCAGGCCAAGGCTAGGCTAACCTCCTTACATTAATCTTCTATGCCTTATGATATCTTTACTATCTATATTTAACTTTTGTCTTTACCTAGAGCCATTAACGTTTCTTATAATAATTCAAGTTGAGCTGATGCACACTGTATATCACTTGACAACGGTATAATATTTACTGATATCTCCATGTTCACTGAGATCAAAGCCAACATTTCCTTACTCTGCGATTGTACATTTATGTGTTACTGCAGTGTGTGTGTGTGTGTGTGTATATTGGATAATCTCACACTCGTAAAAGAAAGATGTGGGTCAGAGCCTTGACTCCAAAATTTTATGCTTCAATTTTATATCTCCTAAAATGGGATACGACGACTTACCCAGATACTAAGACCAAATCTCATGTTGTTAGGACGTCACTTTGGCTGCCACATTCAGGTTACAGCTGAAGTGAATCACGTACAGTTCTCACGTCACCAGTTAATGGAACCTTTCACGTATTTTAGGAAAACTGAGGCAGCAGCTGCGTCGCCACATACCTATAGTGTTTGTTCCTTTAAAATATCGACAGAATCTCGTAAATTTGAAGAGTCCGAAATGTTCAGTCATAGTTCCGGTGGGAGAAGGCCAGAATAAAGTATCCAGCTAATTGTTTGGTTCGTTGTCGTTGATGTCTTATTAGTGCTCCAACAACCAGGGTGTTTAACCACGTAATTTAAGTCCTTTCATATACTAAACAGTAAGAAATTAAAGCAGGTCTTATTCTTTGTTTACTCACGGAACTTATCGCGTCCATATCGCTGAGGAGTTCTAGGCCAGTATGTCTCTTACTGTCTTTGTGTTTAATTATATTATATTTATTTCCCATGATTAAATATATTAATTTATATCTTTAAAATATTATAAAGTAACAGTCCAGTAGGGTAGACTTACATACATATAAACAGTACAGTATGTAGCCAACGACAACGGTCAGTCACCATTACACAACACTGATGGCAGGCAGCACTGTTGTCCTCCTCGTCCCGCTGAATGTTGTCACTGATGACCTTACCAGTGACCCTGCCTGTCGCTCTCACCCAGTTTCCTACGAGGGAGCGACGAGCATCTTGATTCGCGGATGATCACTAGTACAGTCCACAGTGACGCCCTCAGTTCTGATTCTCCTGATGCTATGTTTCTTCTCGTAACTAGAGACATGAAGACTTTAGCTACGATACAAAGATAAATGACAAAATGAAGCAGAAATTGGAAAAAAATGGTTAGTGGTATAATTTATCTTTTAAACAAACCACCCGAACCAAAACAAATTAATATTAGGTTAGGTTTGGTTAGTTCGTCACCTGGGAAATAAATGGTTTAGGTTAGATTAGGTCACCTTACCTGAGAAATAAATAGTTTAGCAGTGGTCTTCTTGGCAGAGTTTTTTTTTTTTAGTGACCATCGTGAGGAAGGGGTCAAGCTTCGTCACCACCTCTTGCACACCCAGCCTTCCCGAGTTACTCTCAGTGCCTCACAGGTGGAATTTCCATGTGTCAGTCACCATCTGCCGACCACTACACTGCACCACATCACAAACATCTGTACGTTAATCTACTTCTCCTAACAAGAGATGGGGGAGGAGGAGGGGGGTTAAGAGATCGAAGCCAGATACACTCAGGGTGACCAGATGTCCTGATTTAGCCGACAGGTCTCTCGATTATCAATGATCTGTCCAGTGTCCAGCCAAACTTATTAATATGAATGTACTGATTTTTCGAATGGATCTTAAAATACTGTAAATATTCATAAACCAGATACCACACAATATACTTAGACAACCAGTAGAGAAACTCGTAATTATTCGATTTTTTTCCCGGAGGATCACTGACGCTTCTAGTGGTGGCAGCAACTTACTATTGACTGTACGTGTTCCGGTTTCGCTTTATCAACGGTGTTACAAATCCGTCCGTATATTGTCTTTACCACCTTAACTTAGTATTTTTTTTATAGTAGATTTGTTCAAGTAGGTCTATATCCCATCATTCCTGACATAACTAACTATTCTCACACACGACACGTAAAAATCGAGGTATATTTGAATGTCACAGCTGCATAAATAAAATGTGTAAAATTATGAAAACAAAACAAAAACGAAAACAAATACATTGATGATATCGCTAAAATGATGACGATGAAATGATAATAATAACAATAATAATAATAAAACTACATGTAACAGTTAGCACCATAAATAATTACCATCGTATTGTGTATAGTGATAGTATGTTATCTTAGTAGGATAACAATAATAAGTGTTATAGTTTTAGTGGTATCGTGGGAGTGTTTGGTTGTGTTGTTGTAGCTATTTGTGTGACGTTAGATTGAGTGTGGCAGCTAATACGTGTGACCTGGGTCAACAAGGGGCAGTGTCTGGCTACTGACTCGTATGTATGTGTACAGGGGAAGGTGACCTAGGGAGAGAGGGGGTGACCTAGGCAGGGGGGACGTGACCTCGGGAATGGGGTGACCTAGGGAGGGAGAGGTGACCTAGGGAGAGAGAGGTGACATAGGGAGAGAGAGGTGACCTAGGGAAGGAGTGACCTAGGGAGAGAGGGAGTGACCTAGGGAGAGAGGGAGTGACTTAGGGAGAGAGAGTGACCTAGGGAGAGAGGGAGTGACCTAGGGAGTTAGAGGGTGACCTAGGGAGAAAGGGTGACCTAGGGAGAGTGACCTAGGAAGGGAGTGCCTACTATAATGATACTAACAGCCGCGACCCACGACTTCCGTCGTCACCAGTTATGCTGAGTGGGTCACCCTCCTCCCTCTCCCTCCCTCCCTCCCCTCCCCCCTCCATCCCTCCCTACCTACCTTCCTCCCGTCCTTCTTCTCTCTGTCTTCTCTAAACATCCTCCCTCCACGCTCTCTCTCTCTCTCTCTCTCTCTCTCTCTCTCTCTCTCTCTCCGTTAGGTTAGGTTAGGTTAATCTTCAGGTGAAATTAATTATGTTACACACACACACACCTATAGAGTATACCTTTTCCCCCAAGGGAAAAACACACCCACTTAAATTACACCCCACTTACACCCTCACTCACACACCCTCACTCACACACCCCACTCACACACCCCACTTACACCCTCACTCACACACCCTCACTCACACACCCTCACTCACACACCCCACTCACACACAGAAGCACTTCATCTCTCAACATAAAGATCATAAAGAGGGAGTAAGTGGAAGGTGGTGAGGGGAGGCAGGTACACACACACACACACACACACACACACACATACACACACTGAGCACGAGAGAGAGAGTGACATTGTGTAGATACAGTATATTATTCTGTTGTGACTTTAACCTTTATAATAATGTCACTTAACCGAGGTCACGAGGGGTCATAGGTCATTTAATGGGGCTCT